TTCAGAGATTCAGCCATAGGCTATACAGGTTTCCCTCATAAAGTGAACCCACTTTATAAGGTAACAAGTAGGGCTAGGTTCCCAAGGCGATGAGGGAGGGAGGGAGTGAGGCTGGGCCTAGGGAAGGGGCCAGGGGAGGGGTGCCATTCCCGGAGCTACACTGTGCTCTGCCTGTCCCCTCACGCCTGGATTCTGCCTGTCCTCACTCACTCCAGCTCCTGGGCTGCACCATGCTGTGGTGCAGGCAGCTGTTGTCAGCTGCTCCCAGGGCCGCTGCAATAGGGGCTGGGGGGTGTGGCAGCAAGCAGAGCCCCGGGCGGTGCGGGATGTGGCGCATCTTGTCCACACTCACCCTATCCCCCACTGCAGTGGCCCCGGGAGCAACCGGTGCCAGCTGCAACAAAAACTGCCAGTCAGTGAGGGGAGAAGGCAGGATGCACCTCTTGCTGCTCCGCACCCCCTGGGAGGGCTGGGAGGCTGTGTCAGGCTCTTCCTGGGGCCGCATGCCTCTGGATCTGAACGTGGGATGACAACAGGCTGCCTCTGCAGGCTGGGGCCAGCGGTGGCACCAGGCTGATTCTTCCCAGTGCTCAGGGCGGTTGCACTGAGTTCCGGGAACAGCCCAGTGCCCCTGGATGTGGATGCAGGATGATAGTAGGCTGCCGCTGCAGGCTGGGGCTGGTGACAGCACTGGGCTGTTCCTGGTGCTCAGGGAGGGTGCACTGAGCACCGGGAAGAGTCAGCCTGGTGCCACCGCCAGCCCCAGTTTCCGATTCAGTTCGGAGCTTTTAATGGGTTTCCTGATTCAATTCGGATTCAGAGATTCGTCAGTCGAATAGGGCCAAATCTCCTTCAAATCTAATCAGCTACCGAAGCTTCACACAGCCCTACTAGCTAACAACTAACTGTTAACATTTAGCATTTTCTAAAGGTATCCAGTCTGCATTTTGATAAAATAAGTCTATGTACACTACCTTTATTATACAGTAAAATATAAGATGGAGAAATCATTACATCCAAACATTATTCAGAATATTTCATCCAGTGCATCCACATACACAAACTATTTACATCATCATTATCTGTATTATGAAATAAGGGAGTAGTATCCAGAGCCTAATGCAAGTAACAAAAACAACTTTTCTCACCTTCTAAGGCAAGTCAGAAATTACAAATGTAGTCACGATCATTATATCCAAATGAATGTAGGAGCAATGAAAGGATCTCTGAGAAAACAGAAAATCTGGAAAGCAAGGATCATAGTGGCCATAAAATGACTGTAGGTCATATAAGCCAGTATATACAATGATATGTTAAGTTTTTCATCAAATACATTAGGGATGGAAAAATCCCAAAAGGATCTTACACTTTTAAGTGCATAATAGAGAGACTGCATCCATGCCCACATATGATTCACTTTGGCTTTCCATGTCTGTCAGAGTCATATATGATATGAAATTAAATTTTACTAAATAGCTTGCATACCACTACCATTGAGAATGTTATTTTCTCTCTAGGTTGAATGCCAAGAACATCACCAAATACATCTATTAGTCTTGGCCAATTACTCTTTTCCATCGCCACTCTAGAGAGCAAATTGTTCTCACCAATAATTGCACAAAACAACTAGTTTCTAAATATAAAGAAAAATAAAGAGAATGGTTGCTATTGGCTCCAGCAAACCATTTCAATAATTTATCATCTAATTAAATATTAAATTCATTCTAACCTCATCTAAAACATTGCAATATATTTTTCTATTTGCTAAATTCAAAGTATACCATTCATTGATATGGAATCTATTCCTTCTCTTTTGAAAACATTTCTTTTTAGTTAAAGGATACTGTAAAAACAAAATGATAAAAAGGAAGGCTTTCTTGTTGGTAGAGCTAAACACTGAAGCAAAGTTGAGCCAGAAATCAAAGATAGTTATTGAGATTTCATCAGTGTGAAGCCAAAGACATATGTCCCATGTGCTGAAAACACTGTTTAAATAGTTTATTTCCAACATTACAAAATTGCCAGGTCTCAGGATGCACTGCTCCTAATGAATTCAATGGCACCCCCTCATATCCTATGTTCCAGCCTGGCTCCAGCCTCACCATATGTTTTCTCACTATCATTTCCTGTCTTCCTCCTCCTCTGCATCTTTCCATCCCATGGTTCTGCCTCCTCCTCCTTCCATTCTTTCCCTGATTCTCCTTGCTCTACCTCCTCCCAGCCTGGCTCCTTATCCCTTTGCATTTCAGTCAGGCAGCTTCTGCCACATCATCACATCCAAGGCTCCAGCTGGGGGAAAAAGCAGAAGCCTTGTTCTCAGTCCCTCTACTCTGCAGCAGCGCAACCTCTGGTGGCGAAAAAAAGCAACTGTAGGAAAATTTTACTGAATCCCTGAAGCCCTGGGGTGGTGCATGCATGTTAGAGATTAAATGTGTATAGAGAATTTAGCTACCAAACTCTAACAAAGATCTTCTAATCATGTGTGAATGGAGTTTTTTTGAAGGACAATAACTAAGCCAAAATTAACCTCTGAATAAAATTCCTTGGTAAAGGCAAAGGCATATAAAGACAACTTGGTTAGAAAGTCCCTGCCAAATTTCAAGTACATGCTCTAAAACATGGTGATGTTGGAGCTTCTTAATTAAGTTTTAAAGTTGGGGGTGGGGGACAGTTAACATGGGTAAAAGACTGTGCTTTCCCCTAGCTTCATTCTTTGAAACAGCTGAACTGTTTAAGTGAATGTTAAAAAACCAAACAAACAAACAAACAAAAAACCCACCCTGAAGCTGACATCTGGCATGGAAATTAAGTGAAATTGTTTAAGTTTGCCAAAGTCATATGCCACTGAAAAAAAATTTCTTTGAACGGAAGTTGTTAAGCAAACTTAATTGTAGATAGCACTACCCACAATAAGAGTAAAAGGTCCATCTGAATCTTACTGACCAAGGCATGCCATTTCCAGTAGCCAATGGCACACACTAAAGTGATGTAGCTAGCAATGCATCTATCTGTCAGAATGAGCAGGTACCATTTACAACTTGGTACAGCTCTGTTCAGAGTGTGATGAAACCTCCTCTTCTGTTTCCATGTGCTGTCTCATCTGCTTGCCATTTGAGTCATCTCTCAGCCATCCACAAATACATCTCTTCCCAAACAGTACCCAGACAAAGCCCTTGGACCAAGGTGTTCAGGTACCTGAGCAGCCTTGCAATCTTTAAATGTCTCTTATAAATTTAGGCTAAGTACAGACATTCAAAAGGCCAGAGGCAGAATAGATCCAATCTGTGTGGGTTTCTTTAAGCTGCGTAGATTGGATCCAGAGTCAACTGGAGTATGCCTTGAAGCAACTGCAGGCTGGGTCCTCCAAAGAGATGCTCTGGCACCTGGCCAGAACATCTCTATGGCTGCCCCATGCCCCTGCTGCCCCAGCATGCTGCTTCAGTGTGTTGGAGCAAATAAGAATGGGGCAAGGCTGCAGCGGTGGATCAACCCAGGCTCTGTCCCCGGTAAGTAGGGATGTGGGGGTGGTGGGATTGTGTGTGTGTGGATGTGGGGGGACTGTGGAGGTGGGGGGGGACTGCTCAGGAGGGGTGGGTCCCTTAGGGACTTAGGACGTGCTACTAGCAGAGCCCCTCCAGTGGTGTGGCGCAGCCCCAGCTGCCTGAGACCACCTGTGCCACATGAAGCCAGCTCGGCCAGGCCTGGGCCACGTGCCTTCAGGCAGGACTAGACCATTCTTGCTGCTACCCGGGGCCCCCGACACCACGCTCAAGAGCCACGTGCCCTTTGGCCAGGCCGGGTTGTTCCACCCACTGCTTTGTGGCTCTGAGCAGTGCCAGCTCTTGCTGTTCTGCTCCCTGAACCTGTACCCAGGCCCCAGTGATCCTCACGGGCCAGATCTGGCCTGCCAAGCACTTTCATCTGGCCTGTGGGACCCGCCCCCAACAAACTGTGCCCCACCCAGGCCTTCTGCCCACAAGGGTGGGAGCGAGGCACCCACATGAACACACAGCCCCAAAAACGTACCCTATTGCCTCACTCCCACCCTTGTGGGCTGAAGGGTCCAGCCGGCTAGCATGCAGCTTCCGTGTACGGCTACTACTGCCATAGGCCCCGGGACCTGCTTGTTTCCCCAGTCTCCTGCCGACTCCGGGCAGCGGGTAGGGAAGTGGCGGGGGCAGGGCTGCAGCTGGGAGGGAGCATGGAGCATGGAGCTGGGGTGGGCAGCATGCGAATGTGACAGAGAGTGGGGGGTGTAGGGACCCCCCCACACTCCCCCCAGTGGTGCACAGCCCCAGCAGGCAGTGGCAGCAGCAGCAGGCGGGGCGCTCAGGGCACAGGCACCCAGTGGGGCACGGCTCCGGCCAGTGTTGCCCATCGCAGCAAGGGGCTCAGCCGCCGCGTGGCTGCCTGTATTGCCAGCACTCCCTGGCACCCGTGCGCAGACCCTGAACGCACACAGCAGGGAGGGAAGCCCCACATGTTGGAGCCAGATGCCTTCCCTGCTGGGGCTGCGCAGCACCGGAGAGAAGCTTCAGGCTCTGGAGCTGGCTGTCTTCTCTGCCTGGCAGGAGAAGATGCCTGGGGCTTCCCGCCCCTGCAGCACACCCCTGTGACTGACTTTATATTATCTTGCAACATCATAGTACTGTACATCTGAAATCTGGTATAATTACCTCAGTATCATTGGATTCACTCATATACATTTAAGCAGATGCTTGCATTCTCATGCACTATACTATATTCACAGTGCCTCAGAAATAAAAGCTTTCTGCGTGACTTTACTACTGTTCAGTTATAAGATTGGTATGGGGCCTAGAAGTGTGGATGGAAGGAAAAGCTGCTTAAAGTAATGTTAACCTACTAATTCCACACACACACTAATTCACTGTGACTGAAATTATAGGGAACTATATGTGCTGTAAAGTGAAGAAAAGCTAGTGACACTGTAAAGAAAATGAGATAGGAGGTAGAAATAAAAAATATTAAAAAAAACTTACCAATACTTTTAAAGCTGGGCCAGTGAAGAGAAGAACAACCACGAAGATTCAAACGTAAAACATAAGGACGCCACTTCTGCAAAATATTAACTACTGTTTTGTCTTGAATCTTGTGTTTTACTGCAGAAAAATCAATCTAAAAATTAAACAATACAGATATCTATATATCGTACAGGTATCTAAAATATAGACATACATGCAAAATATGTGTGATTATTTAAAGAACTAAATGTTAAAAATCTGCTGTGCAGTCTCGACATCCAGGTCTTGCAAACACTATGCACATCCTTATCTTTACATATATGAGTAGCCTCGCAGAGTTCATTAAAATTTTTCACGCACATAAATAAAGCATTTATGCAACTAATGCCTAAAACTTATATTTACAAACTGGGGCATTCCCTAGTCCACAGCTATGAGCATATGAGAGCAGGATATCTGAACAAAACAAAAACCAAAAAGAAACAAACAAGGGCACACACACCACCACTTGTTTATTCATTGTTTCTTTATGATGTATAAAAATGTAAAACTATTAAAGCTTTTTGCAATTAATTTTTTATCTTAGAAATATTAGGAACATAAAGTCTCACCTGCCTTTTTTCGCTTATGGACTCTTTGGTTATTTAGATAGCTGTACCTGAGCTAACTTTACCTGGCTGGGATATCTGGATCATTAACAATTAATGTTCTTTTTCTAGTTGTTGTGAAAACCAAATTGAACAGATGATAACAAAAAAATGGAGAAAATAGTTTTCAAGAGTCTGCCTAAAAAGTTCTCCAGCAACAACAGGACAGTAAGAGTCTAATATTTCTAAGAAAATAAACATTAAAAAAATCCCTCCTTTTTTGAAGAAGACACAAAATATTCAGGATTTTTTTATCCTAGCTCCCACTAAATAAGCAAGCAGGAGCACAAACATCTACGTTTCCTTTGTAGGTCATATTTAAAATACAGAATTTACACCAAAACCATACTGAATCCATCTGTATTATACTTTATGCCATATGGTCTCTACCTTAACTACCATGAACATCAGTCTTCATCACCATATTCTAATTTCCATCTTTTCCAGTACACATTTGCTTCTGCCCTGGATGCACACCCTACATTTCCATTGGACATACTTCATAGATCTTATCTGTCTCACTAAACCCTGAGAAGTATGACACCCAAATGAAACAGAGACATGCATGTCTGAAAACACTAAGCCTGGTGCTCACCCAAAATTTCCCCTACTTTGTATACTAGAAATTGTATAACAAACTTACAATAGTCCAGTGAAATGTCATATCTATGGTGTCTACTGTCTAGCTATCTTTTTAGTCACAAAACACTAGTCTCCTAATAAAGTGGAATAATCATTCCAGTGACATCACCAGGAGCATTCCAATTTCTACAGAACTATTTACTGTTTTTATGTCAAGAAGAGACCTGTAAAACTTGCTAGGGTTTCTGGTATAGAGAAATAAACCAAAACATACTTATACATTCTTATACAGTATCTTACAGAAAGAAAAAGTACTACTGATGATTGCTTGTTTTTGCCTTTTTTTTACTACTTAGTATCACGTGGTAAGAATTTTGAAAAAAATAATATGTGATTATTACACACAATATCTACACATATGTACTTTTTCAGACAGGAAATTAGATACTCTTTCAAATAAACTACTACAGCTTTCTGAAATAACTACGTGATTCTGAATTTTGTGAGGTAGAAGTTTATAGGAATTGTCTAACTTGCATGTTTTAAAATGGAATCGGCGATGGTACTACTGAAAATAAGAAATGAGTCTTCATATCTTCTAATACTACTATCAGTGTTCTACAGAAAAGATATAAAACCTTAAATTGCCATTTTCACTTAACTGTTCTTTTAGTTATGACAAAAACATTTAGAATTTGTTAGTATTGTAGTTTGGATTTTAGCATTTTTCTTCAATCATATATCAAGTTTACCACTTCTGATTTTGAAATGGCAAATATATGTATCATATCTTGAATCAAGAAATATAGACACAAACTGACTGACTGTACTGTATAAAAACTGTAAAAAAAGGATAAGGACCCAAAATTTTATATCTATATTCAACATATAAATATATATTTAGTTCCAGGCTTCTCTTTTGCTTATGCCAGTTTTATAGTGATGTACATAAAACTGAGAGAAAAAAACCCAGCTCCACCGATATCAATGGTAATTTGTGATGCACCTCAATATGGACAACATTTCACTTGGGGTGCTTAGGATTTTTAAACATAACCTGATCATTTCATCCTTACTCTCTGAAACTTGAAATCAAACATTAAAATTGGTACAATGTCAGTTTCAGACTGTCTTACTTACATCACTCCATAATGAACTATTTTGTGTTACTGACATCCAGGTTCGGCTAACTTGAGCACACCTTGCCAGATCAATTAAGTCTGTGTAGTGAAAAATCTAGGTTGGAAAAACAAATAGAAATACTGTTTAAGAGAGACCACTAGACTGAAAAACAAACAAAGCAACAATAAAACATCAACATCCAGTACTTATTCATCAGTCCAAAATAGTAGACTTATAGTTCTTTTCTCATCAAATTTCACATCTCTAGATATAGTATACCAAACTAGGAGTCATTTTCTCCTCTGGAGCCATGTAATAATGTCAGGGTAAGATAGGATGCAATGGGTTTAAATTGTAACAAAGAAGATTTAAATTAAGTCTCAGGAAAAACTTCCTAACTATAAGAACACAAGGACAATGGAACAATCTGCCTAGGGAAACTGAGGAATCTCCTTCACTAGAGACTTTCAAGAAGAGGTTGGATAAGCCTTTGTCTGGAATGGTCTAGAAATAGGGCGTCCTGCCTTGTGCTGAGGGTAGGACTAGATGACTCCAGAGGGCCTTACCAATCCTATAATTCTATAAGGCATTTTGCAGTCATATTATGATCAAATGCTTATTATAGCAGTCAAGGGTGCCATTTTCCCAATTTACAGTCAAATAAGGCAGATTTTTAAAGGGGAGACAGGCAGGATACAAAGGGCACACCTACACAAGATGCTACAGCGCCATAGTGTCCGTTGGCAAAAACTGTGATGCTGTCGCTACGTCACCGTAGCAATGCACTCTCTCGCTATAGTGCATTGCTATGGCAACGCAGCAGCCAAAAATAACCATGCGTGGCCAGCACAGAGCATTATGGGTTGTTACTGCACCATCTTTTAGTACTTCCAAAAGGAAGTACTAAATGGCAACGCAGTACCAAAGGTGCCGTACGGCCACGTGTAAACACACCCAAAATATCTTAGCTTGTAGCCCCTTTCTCAAGCTTAATTCAGTGAAGGCAAGTTCAGCTATGAAATTATCTTACTGATCTCTGTTAAGAGATCGGTAAAATATTTGTTTGACTGGTGGTGTGTTAGTAGGTACCGAGTAATTTTCCTTTGGTCACAATCTATACTCTAGAAATACCAGTCTGAATTTCCTATTCTACATCCCTATTGCATTACTGCTTGCCAAAAGTGCTTTTTCATAAAAATTTTGGAAGTGGCAGAATTGGCTCTTTCCAGAGATCATAGCCTGAAATCAGTCATTCTGATGGAACATAAAAGAGATGTTATTAGAAAAACTACACATTTTGGCGCGCTCATACTATATTGGTGAAAATATGAAATAACATAGTAACACAAAGAACTTGAAAATCACCCATGAACAATGAGGTGTTTTCACCATATTTCTCAAAACAATGGATACTGGGATTTTAATGTTATTTCCTAACATTTTAAAATTCAGGTGTTCATCTAGTGCCTAAAGGCTAGAGCCAGAAATTAAACATAAATTGATATAAGTGATCAGAAACATAGGCACTAAGCACGTGGGGACCCAAGGGCCCTGACCCCTCTCAGGAAGAGGGTAGGGTGACTACCCGTCCTTAATTGGGCAGGAAAGTCCTAAAAAGGAAACATTAGGTCGTGGTCCTGGGCTATAGGACTCGGAGACAGCATTTGTCCTGGATTCCCAGTATTGTGCAGGGATTTGGGTTTTCCATTCACCATGGAAAAATGTGGGAAATGGTGGGTTTCCCCTTGCAGGCTGGCAGAATTACAGACTGCAAGGGGCTCTGGGGAGTGGGACACAGGGGGTACCATGTATATGTGTGTGCATGCACATGTGCGTGACACCAAGAATACAGCCCCAGACAGCAGTGGAGAGCAGCTCCCCCATACTTACCCTGCACGTAAGTCTATGAGAGGGTGCAGATTGAGGCTCCCACAGTGAGGGATGTAGTGGGGCAGGGGCTAGGCCTAGGGGCTCTGCCCAGCCAGGGCGGTGCATGGGGCCTGGGTCTGGTAGCGTGGAGTGGAACAGAGCCATGGGTGGCTCATTCATGGGGTGGGGGGCAGCTCCCTGCCATGGTGCACACTCCTGGAGAGGGGGCAATGGGGAGGCGTGTGCCTCCCAAATTTATGCATGGGGTGGGGGCAGATGTGGGCTGCCCACTGCAGGCTTAGGGCTCCCTACCCTGCTGCCTTCCCCCCAGAAGCCCCACACCAGCCACGCTGCCATGGTGAGGTGCCCCCTGCCCACCCAGCAGCAGCGGAGGTAGTGGCATGGAGTTGTGCCCTCCACTACTGCAGGAGGGCAGAGGGAGCCTCACCACAGCAGGGGTGCATGACTCCCAGAGGGGTGGCAGTAAGGTGGGAAGCCCAAGCCTCCAGTGGGCGGTCTGCATCTGCCCCTGCCCCACACAGGCTCCGCTCAGCTCTGCTCTGGCTGTGGGTGGCTAAGATGATGCCCCCTCCCCCCCCGGCCCACAAAAATAAAAGATGGTGCCTAATTGGAAACCAGTCCAAACCTGTAACACAATAGTTCAGTACACATAAACTGCTTTCAAAATGGCCAAAAACTGGTTTAAAATAAATCTGGATACATGTAGTATCAGACTTAACTCATTTAAGTTAAATCAGTTTATTGAAATTCTGTCCCAGATCCCCTCCAGATTCCAGTTAACTCACAGTCCCCCAGCATCCCAGGATGCTTTGCATCTCCCCTACAAATCCTCCTTTGCAGGGTGGGTGGCCTAGCCGGGGTGTGGCCTAGCCTTGGCCCAAGCTGTCTGCTCCAACCAAGCAAGGAGGCATGCTCTAGAGCGCCCCCCTCTCCCCCCCCGCCCCCCGCAGCTTCTGGCCTGGGCCATTGCAGGCATGTGGCTGCATTTCCAGAATCAAAAATGAATGTCTGTTTGCTTGCTTATTGGTTCAATCTACACAGTTTAGACTAACCTACAAATATTAAATTGATTTAGCCTCGGGCTTTTTAACTGTCTATACTTAGCCAAAATGTTTCATAGTTTCATACTTGATAGGGTTGGAAGGGACCTGAGCAGATCATCAAGTCCAATTTCCTGCCATGGCAGGAAAGAGTACTGGGGTCAAACGACCGAGGCAAGGTGTTCATCTAGCCTCCTCTTAAAGACCCCCCGGGTAGGAGCCAGCACCACTTCTCTTGGAAGTTGGTTCCAGATCCTAGCCACCCTGACAGTGAAGTAGCGCCTCCTGATGTCTAGTCTGAATCTACCCTCTGCCAGCTTGTGACCATTATTTCTAGTCACTCCTGGTAGTGTTCGTGGGAACAGGGACTCCCCCAATGCCTGCTGGTCCCCTCTGACTAGTTTGTAAATGGCCACTAGATCCCCCCTCAGCCTCCTCTTGTAGAGGCTGAACAGGTTCAGGTCCCTTAGCCTCTCCTCATAGGGCCTGCCCTGCTGCCCCCTGATCATGCGAGTGGCCCTCCTGTGGACCCTCTCCATGTTGTCCACATCCCATGTTCAGAAATCCAGGCTCTGGTAGACCAGGTGGGAAACAATACGCAAAATGGGGAATGCCTCATAAACAGCACTGTACCAGAAACTGCCTCTCATACATTGAGGGAATGGCTATTCAAGTCACTGTCATTGTTAGGGTCCAGGGTTCAAGAGAAGATGAGAAATCTGCCAGATAAGCAGGGCTTTAAAATTAAAGCTAACATTTTGATTTCCGTTTTGAATTACCTTTATTGAATGTTTTTACATATGTAATTTAAAAACCTTCAAATTTAGCCAGTATCAATTTTTAAATAAATACATCTATAGAACTGCATCAAATGTCAGAAGTCAAATCCTATCTTACTAAGGGCCTGATCATCATCTTTGCCAATTCTCACTGAAGTCAAATGGGAGTGTCAAGTGGTTAGGCCCTATTAAAACTAAACTACTAAAAACTTGAAGAGTTAAAATTCTGAAAATACTAGAGTGTAAATATAAAGAAAGCTTTACAGACAGCCACATGTCTAAGACAAGCTTAAACAGTAGACTACATGGAGGGAAGGGATATTTCCCAGCCCCAAGTCTGCCCACAGTACAATAAGAGTAATTAATCTCCAGTTAAGGAATATATTTGAACATATGCCTAAAGCATGGTACAGAGACTTAGGCATGAACAACCTGATGGCCATGAAAAAAAGCAGCTAAAAAAGAAGATATTCTCCCTAACCCTTCTACCTATCCTCCTTCAATGCCTTCAGGGAAAATATGAATAAGCACGGCAAAGTATGATACATTTTTCTATTCTTGCTTAGGAGAAGCTCACTATAATGAAGTAGGGAAGATGCAGTAAAGGTATTTTAAAATTCTTGGTATATGGATAGGTGGGTAACTGCATAGATGGTGTCACTAGCAGGCATTGGGTCAAGGAGGTGGACAAAAGAGGAGGGTCCAGGACGAAGTGACAAAGCAAGCACAGAGGGATAAAGCAAGCACTGCCCCCATGCACACAGCTCTTTGTGCACCGGGGCAGTGCAGGGTTGCGCCCCTCTCTGCTGCCCCTGCCTGTAGGGGAAGCATGGCCACAGCAGCGCGGGGCTCACAGCAGCAGGCAGCTTTTGTGTATGTCCCGCCATGTGCTGCCATGCCGGGTTGCACACGCTGCACTCTGGAGGGCCTGGGGGAGGGCAGCAGGGTAGGGAGCATGAGCCTGCATTGCATACCCACCCTGCCCCCACCCCCACACAGATCTGGGACCCACCCTGCCCCCCACCCCCACACAGATCTGGAGGACACAGGTCCCTCCCACCCCTCAGGAGTGCACACTGCTGCTGGGACCTGGCCCCGCCCAAGCCCACAGCAGGCAGGCAGCAGTGGGGGAGCCGGCTCATGCTCCTGCTGCAGCAGCCGCTGCCTTCTGTTGGGGGCAGGGGGCTGGGGGCCTGGGTCCCTGGGCCCATAGCCCGCAAGGGGCACAAGCAGGGCTGGGGGGCTATAGGGTGGGGGTGTGAGGGATACCAGCAGTGCTGTGTGGGGCATTTAATTTTAAGCATGGATTTGGGGATTTTTATCAGAGAATTTGCAATTTTTTATCACAGAAAACCAGGATCCCTGGTGATTAGTACTCTCCTTGTAGGTTATGGGTATTCAAAGG